TTCAAACATGGATTCAGAGCCCTTACTATAGAATGCACTACATACAACGCCGAAGTGGTGCAAACCTGGCTCCAAAAAGCTCGGTTGCTCATGGTTTTCAGAAATGGCAAGGCCTAATTGACTGTACACATGGACCTTAAGGTCCCGACGCTAGAACTCCACCTATGTTCTTCATAAGATCAAGAGTAGCTAAGAAACTACATTTACAAACCTGAGCCGTACCCAAAGCACGTGGCATTCGACCGACAAATTCCTCTCTTTTCGTTGGCAAGGATAATCGAACTTGTTCTGACTAAATTCATAGACTCCCATCTCCACATAACTTCAAATTTATTTCCTTCTACTTTATGATAATCGGGGTAATTTCACTCCATATAAAAAATTCAAAAGCAAATAATCTCCTATTTCTAGAATATTATTTCTGACTTAGATGGAATCGGCCTACAAGCTCATGTGTAATTCCATCCATTTGTTTTTCATGGAGCTGCACTTCCTGAACGTCTCTCTTTGACTACTAAAAAACGCTAACATAATCGAGTCTGGAATTTTAAAATGCTAGCTTTGCACTTCGCATCCCTGGGGAAAAACTAGAACAAATATGCAGATTATCTCCATAATCAGTAGTCTAGATGGGTTCGCTAGAAAAAACTGAATCTTCACGAGGTTATGGGCTAGTGGCGCAAAAAATCCCTGGAATAAACCTTTACAAGGAATCCAAAATTTTTTTGAAGGGGAGGGGGGGATAGAAATGCGTCAGCTACGTTCTCCAACATATCTTGATGCTCGTCAAGAATATGACAATCGCATGAATTTTCGAACTTTAGAAAACGAAGTTAACCTTTTTTCGAAATTTTACGAAGTCATTTTACTTATTTGAGAATGACAGCATCTTAAGAGCCGGACATACATCACGCGATTTCATCGCCTCGCGATTCTTCCAACAAGACAACTGTTACATTGCAGTCCATTGCATGCTGAGTATCTTGCATTTCGGTTGTGATAGATTTCGGAGCGACTAACTGCGTCTAACTATCACAACCGAAATGCAAGGTGATAGGTATGCAATGGACTTGTGACGGTTGTCCTGTTGAGAGAATCGCGAGGCATGAAATCGCGTGAGTACGCCCGGCCCTTTATCCGGACGATGTAATGGCTCATGTACATTATTTTTAGACCCTTCTCACATTCTTCTCAACCCGACACTGCTAGCCCATCATCTCCTCGAACAAATGTAAGGAGATCTCCAGATAATACCCAGCTATTTCCGAGAAAATTGGAAGGCGACTGGAAACGGCCAAAATACATTACATCGTTATTCGGAACCGGGCATAGCTGCAAATTACGTATATTTACACAGCGAATATCCCCGGTCCCTTGGTAAACACATCCGCCAAAAAAGGTAAGCAAATCAGCAGCCGAGCCGAGGCCTCATCTAGCTGCTACTTATGCATTCGAGCAAGTGAGCAAATCAGTCGCGGAGGTGCCTGGAAGAGGCTGCTGCTGGCGACAGATTGCTAATTTATACCCGGTGACCAGGCAAGTGGCATCCAACTATTCATTGATTCACACACTCTCATGCACACTCTCAAAGGGCTCGATGTGACTTCATCAGCCAACCCCCCCCCCTCAGTCCAGTGAGAGCCGTTCTCAAGTCGATTATGCACACAAGAGGCCCAGATTACTGCGAATCTGTCGCACTCTCAACTGCTCTTCAGTTTTACGCTCGAACGACGCAGGACACAAACATTATATGGTTGTTTTCGTGGCTAATACCCGCGGGAAGGAGTCATTCTTCGAAGAGGATTAGAAATTTGTATGTTGCGATAAATACTACTCATGTATGAGAGAACGGACATTGAGTAATGCAGATTAGTTGAATGAGTTCTCTTAGCCTAATCCGGGGATTATTTCAGAGTCATCAAAGTTTAAGGGTTCCTAGGATTGAGAATCAACAGAACTCTTAAAAAGCTCGGTTCCCAAATGAACAGAAGCGGAAATGGTATACATAAATTCCATTAATTTGAATGGAAGACGATTCTGGCCCTACAAAAAATTTTAACAACAAAGCCGCCAGAAGCAAAACCGAACATGCCCAGATGAGACCAAAAGAAACAACAAATGCATGACAAGAAATTTTGACCAGCAATAAAAAATCACCGCCAAAGAATCATAATTCTGAACGAGATGAGATTTGCATAGGGACGATAAGATGCCATAAAAATCTGATCTTAGGAATCAAATGCGTTATAGGCCCGTTTTCTCCCAAAGGGAAAGTATTCATGGCCGTAAAACGGGTAGATGTCTGAAACAAAGTCATATGATAGCATCTACGTGGAAGGAAGTGGGGGAAAATGGTATGCAATGGATAATTTCTAAATTTTTGGATGCTATGATTGCGGGACTATAGAGAGCAAGTAAACAGCAAGCGAAACGAAATATCAGTAATAAACTTCGGTAAAATAACAGAAAGGATAATAAAAAACTATCTAATCAAATTGTCTCTACGAGGCCAAAATAGAATTCGTCCAGCACTATTATCAGGATCTTTAGTTTGTTTCCTCTTCTTTAGTTAGACTATTTCTGATAATTCAATGATAAGATGAAGAATACCTGCGAGAACTTTCAGAGTGGTTCAAAGTGAAGTTATGAGATTTCTTCTTCCGAAAAATAACTTTAGGTAGGAAAACACGACGATGATGAATGGATAGAGATGAGATAAAGCATGAATAAAGAGAGAAAAAGTGATAAAAATCGATCAGAGTTCTTGCCTTCCGCCTTTTGAGTTTCAAAAGGAATTTGCAATTTCATGGCAAAAAGTTCTAACACTACCCAATTAATGAGGTTGCAATAGCTATAGAGATTTCAGGAAATAACGGTAATAGACTGGTGAAGGAGAAAATTGAGAGGCAATGTCATTTGAGCTATTGTTTTATGGCAGTGTCAACAAAAGACCAAGTGCTGATGGTCAGCTGTTCGCGGTTCTTTATGAAGAACAAAATGATTCAAAATAAAATTGCACGTGAATGCTTGCTGAACAAACTTATTTATGGATTTTTGATACAAGAAATGAAAGATTTTTGAAACTCACTGTATGTAGAACAAGCGTTGATCCTCGAGTACACAGACGTCACAGTCTTCGACGATGTTCGGATCGCGAGTGTGGTAGTCCCTACTAGTCCCCGGGGCCGGCTCCGAGTCCCGATCCGGGTCCAAGACGATCTTGGGCACTCTCGGAAGAGTTCCCGGATGCTTTAGCATTCCTGACGCGGGTGACGTTACAGAAGCTGCAGTAGCTAGCTCTCACAGGAGCTGAAGCGTGCTCGACTCCAATGCTCAGCACGTTCAGTGTCTGTTGTGAGAGTGTGCGTGTGGCCCCGGGTTGCTGCTGGGTCCCTCCCGAGCCGGGGCGCTCTCTCGGCCGCTCCGCTGCCTCGGTGTCCCCAGTGAGTGTGCTGCCTAGGGCGACGGCAGTCGTCGTCTCCTCATTGCACTCAGACTCTTCGAGGCTTCCCTAGCTCGACTAAATCGTTCAGCTCTATCTTCTATCGCTTTGCGATTCACGAAGGTTTTCTATTACCGATTCACGTTGTCAGGAATCGGAAGTGCATTTTTGCCTCATTTGCCTTTTTTCCACTCCCTTTGATTTCAGATAAGAAGTTCAGCTTAGCTACTTACAATTTTATCTGCCGTGTCTGCGAAAACAATTCGCTTTATGTATACCGATCCTTTCTTGCCCTATTCAAATCTTTGTAGTTCCTGCTTTTTCAATATACTGGTTTCTCCAAAGAAAGTCGTACATGGCTCCAATTCTCCGCTTTATTCCCCACAGTAGTTTGAAAAAGAAAAGAGTTTACTCAGATTCGGAGATTTTACGGCAACCACAAAAATAATGAAAATCTTTTCATCTTCTTATAAAGATTGAAAATCAATTTTCATTCCTGCTAGACCTGGAAGAGGGCGGGTTTCGGCATCTGGGGTATACTTCCTCTTGAAATGAAATTTTTATTTTTTGATTTATTTTAATCAAATTTATTTTTTTTGTTAGATGTGTATTAGCATTTCTTAAGACAAGAAATTCGATATTTCTTGCTCTAATCAAGCCAGTATGCTCGTGCGCGAATTAGCTTTGTCAAGCTTGTGCCATGCCTCATTATCTCGTGCAAAATTTGCGATAAAACGCACTCAAGAGCAGAAAGTTCAATGGAATTATAACTCCTATGTTGGAATTGAAGGAAAAAATAAAAGTATCGGTTATTGGTCAATCTACTTTCTTTCTCATGATTTTAGGAGCATATTGCGAGTTAATGTTTGACTGTCTTTCGATTATTCGTTAATTCTTTATGTAGGGCATTACCGCACTACCGGTGCACCCTAACCAGATTCAAAAATGTTCTCAATTTTTTTCAACCCTTCCATTCCTAAAATAGCAAGCAGTGAATCTGCTGAATCTTCCGCGGATGAGATTCGATTTAGAATGCGTGCCTCGTTGCGCATGCGATCGAAAAACTTTTTCGGTTTCTTTTAATGTTGCTTTCCTACATTCAAGCCTCGAAATCGGCGAAGTACTATTGCAGTGGATAGAATCTCAGACGAAGTTTGAAGAAGGGAACATAGAGAGCAGCAGTTCATTGAATTGCAGGGAATTATTGGATTGGTGAAATCACAGAATCATTTTCACTTGTTCGCACTCATAAATGAGAAATAAAGAGACGCTCTAGTTCAGAAGTCGGGTCGCGAAACACCTTTAATTTTCAAACCTCATTCCTATCTCTCAGGAAAATAAGAATACAAGCTTTCCTATAAATCAGTGATCGCAATCCTTGTTAGCCCATTCCACAAGCAACCAGCGCTTTTGCCGCAATATGGCATAATGGCCCAAAAAAGTTGAAATGACTCATCATCGCCTCGCTAAACCTTTGCAGATTCATTAGCAAATTCATTGGACGTTATATGCTACTTCATGGTTCACGATGAAAAAATCCATTTTCAATGCAAACATCATATGATGACCCTTTATTCTTATGTCATTGAACTCAAATGACCCAGTAAAGCAAAAGAAAAGAAAAATACCCATGGTAGGGCAACACCGGAATTGCTTGGATAAATAATACCATACACAAGTACAAATGCCCACAGAGATTCCATAACTATATGGTTGTGGAAGACCTGCTGCAAAGCAGGATGAATTGCAGAATTGAAAGCTTTGAATTCGTTCGTTATAGATTACAAACATCTGCTTACAGATTAATATAAAGGACAAACATAAGGATTACAGAGCAATGATGACTAAAGGGCAATAGTGACTCGATAAAAATCTTATGCACAAGTAACTGATTAGGATGTGCGGGCAAAATAACTGACTCTAAGCGACCTGCTAGGCGAAAGAGAAGCGATAAACTCGTATCGTCATTAGCGTAGTAAAGAAGAACTCCTCTTCTTGCAATCGTCATATAATTAAAGAAAAAAGAAAGGAAACAACAAAAATCATTTGGAATAGTATATTCTAGGAAGCTCGTATAGGCACCCATACGAAAAGACATTCACGGAGTGTTACCTGGGACAAAAATAATATATGAAAACCTTAATCAGAGGAAATATTGAAGTTTACCTCTGTTTCGTGGAAATGACATGCTGGAAAAGGACATCACAAGTGAATTAAACGCAACAGAATCTTCAGAAGCACTCGTCATCATCGGCAAGCTGTGGGACGGCCGAAGCACAGCGTACAGCAGCTCCAACTCTGAAATCCAGTACATGTGGAGATGAAAAGATTTTCAAACGAAGGATGCACAATACACAGCTGAGGCGAAACAACACGCAATGATGCTGCGTGAGCTTAGTTTAGAGGTAGTTCGTGCTTTAGAATGAGGGCTGAAGTAAACTTCAACTTTTTCACGATGAAGTGGAATTCAGACCTCATCCTACTTACCCAGTTCTTTCGTGAGTAAGCGAGAATCAAAGGTGATACATCGCGAATAGATCTTTTGTTTTAGATAAGAACTTGTAAAGCTTACCAGTCTGAGTAGCCCAATCTCTATAAGAACGGATTTTGAGTATCTTAGAAATTGGCGGCGACTAGATTCAATTTACTACACAACTGTACTAGATGATTAAGAGATGATACTGAAACTGATCAACAACCTTTTTGCCGGTGCAGGTATTCCAGTTTTCCTGGGCAGTCGCGTAGGAGCAGGAATTCTCTGGAACAAGAAATCTCTATAAACTGAGCTGTTTATCAAACTAAAGGCAAATTCTCGCTTATGTTCTATAACAGCTAAGTCGATAATTTCAGTGTATAATACTTTGGTATGCGTAGCTCGTGCTCCCATTACTCACGATTGTATGGAACGCTGCACATTGTCAACTAGAGATTGCTCCAAAACCTTTAGTGATGTAGAGCTAACTGGCTGGATCTGACGACGCCATTTCATTTCATGCATTCTTGATTGACTAATCATTTCTATTAGAGACTTGGGAAGCACGAAATCAGAACTACTTCATCTTTGCAGCATGGATATTTGTCAGGCGCGTGGACAAATTCACTGTGCTACAGCAAATTCTCCACCACTCAGTTTGAGAATCATACACAATACAAACATTCTCTTTTACCACCTGGCTTTTTCTGTTGAAGTGTCAAGGAGTTCATGATTTTTTTTGGGGCCGTGTTCACACTCCTCAATTCTGGCATAGACTGGAAGCGATAGTCGAAGAAAGATCAAATAGGACTCTGGAGGCAATAAAACAGTCCAAACTGGCCCTGGATACTGGATCCAACACCGGTAATACAAGCCATAAACGCATAATGTTCTGTGCGCGATCACCGCAGCATCCAAGCGTTTTAGACACATACAAAAAACAAATTTTCGTGCTCAGGACCCTCTCCTAACCAAACTCTCATCCGGACCATTCTTCCAATGCGCGGAAGGCTCTTAATTTCGGTCCTTCTACGCCCTTTGAAGCCTTACTTAGATGTAATCGAGCGAGACTTATAGGATTTAAAATGGTCGACAAGTTGTTTGAACGGGCATTTAGAAATTTGCTTCGTAGAATGCCCCACATATATTGATCCAATGTAACTTTTTTCTGGTTTCTGAATGCGTTTTTAAACGCTGCTTAAAACGGGTCCGAACTAATATGTGGAGATGCAAGATTCTGAAAATGTCGTAACACTCTGCAAACCTCAACAACGAATTCACAACATTAGATTCTACTCCAAAGCAAACGCAATCCAGAGTTTTGTCAAGCTATAGAAAAGCACTTCGTACAAATTTTAGAACAATACCTACCGAAGGATTCGCATTTGTTTTATGGAGGACATCTACGGATTTGCTGCTGACAAGTGAGCCGGCTGACGAGTGTGCACTCTTCTGCAACTGACAAATTGACTATCCATAGACGTGTTTCGCTTGGTAATATCAAACAGAATGAAGGGTAAACTTTTTTCTCAAAATGATGTATCTACACTAACCGAGAGAGCATCATTTTGCCATGAATGCTTCCGTTCAACATATCCGTGTTGTTGCTGCTCTACTGCCTGGCGTAATGCTGGAATGTAGAACTTATATCTAAAGCACGCAAAAATCAGAAAAGGAAAGAAGCAAAACAAATTCAAATGCGAAATAAGATGAATCAAGTTCGCGAGAGAAAAGAAAAAAAGGAAGATCCTGCCTTATGTGAAGCTCTAAAAAGTATGCACCATCACCAACCTTCCTCTTGTTGTCTCGCGATCTCCCTCAAAGCTGCAAGATCGGGAATGTCGTCTTGGGATTGTGGTGACGGCCGCGCTGCAGATGCTGCGCGTGATATCAAGTTATCCGGCTGAAAGTGCAACTCTTGAGTATACAATCTATAGTTATCTACTAGATATAGAGCTCTGTCTGATCGAGGGTCGGTGAGGTTGTGGTCATTGCGTCGCATACGCCCATTTCTGATGAAATTAGACTGGAAAGCCTTAGTCTTCTTCGTGTTCTTTGCGTTTCACGCTCTTTTTGTTTCCAGGTGGCAAATAGTTATCACTCACGCTTTCCAGCCCAAATGCAGCCACGGCAGCGAATGGGGGCTTACCGCTCAGCGACATTAGGTGTGCGCGGAGCATGGCCGCAATACTCATCAGTTTTCACGAGCAGACAGGCCCTACCGTGTAGTATCAGCTGCACAAAAAATCAACTTACCGTGGGGCTATTGTTGCTATTCCGATCCGCATCCTTGCTGGCAACAACAGGACTCGATATCAACGTTTGTAGAAGCTTAATAATGTACAAATAACTCAGCAAGAAGCCATTTTACTTCATAGATTTCTCTGCTATCAAACAAATTGACTATTGTCAATTTCACAAGCGCGATGAAACGATGCGGGAAGTATCCCAGAACGCCCGTTACATCGTCAGGCACATCACGCTGCAGGAGATAACAAAGGTAGTTCCTCAATCGGGCTTTTACTGAGGAAAAGATAAGACTGCGGACTATTCAAGCTACAAGCAGTCTGTAAATCTATACTAATTGTAAGTACTATAAGCACATGCTGTTCACACTAAGACATAGAGAACCGCTTGAGCATGGAACAAGTGTTAAGCGACAAACTGAAACTCGCTACTCTTCAAAGTAACAGAATTAGTGCAAGTTTTGATTCTATTTTGTACAGTTGTAGAGCAAACTGTTTAAGGCTGAAAATATCAAACTAATGATCAGAGCCCAAACCTGAGCTTTCGGATTAGGTACACGAACATCGGATTGGGCAACATGTCGCTGACTTAGTCCAAGAGGAGTGGTAGCCTGTCCGGCAGTGTTCGGACGGGTGTTCGCCAAGGGACGCACTGTTGTTGAAACTGGTCGTGATAACCTCGTCTGCGTTTTCGATGCAGTTTTTCGAGATCTTGATGACAATGGGGTAGTAGTAGAGTGTTGTTGAGAAGGACGCTATAAATTGGTTAGCTAAGGCAAAGCACTAGTGGTTAATAGCAACAAATGATAGAACTTGTATGACTTTCAAATCTGTTTATGAAGGAACACAGGATAGAAAGCAAGAAGAAACAAAGGAGTCTATGCAAAAGCATTGCTGTAAAATGTGACTATTGTGTTTGACATAGGAAAGTAATTCGCACTATGATTGTGCCTTTCTTCTCTTCAAAAAGAAACAAGATTCGACACAAAAAACGATAAAGTCTTACAAATAATAGGAACGAAAGACTTTGATAACGAGAACAATGAAGTATAAGAAGCAGCACTTTCGCTTCTAGAATGTCAACCAACCTGTTCGATACTTCCTGAGAACTCTTTTGATGGAAGACTCATTTGATTTGGCCTAGAAACTGTTGTAGAGACTGTTCGCGGACTGACAGAGCTCGATCTGAACAAATATTACAATCAGACTGTTATGAAATCGTGCATGTAACAAAACAAAAGAAATCCCCATTGTGACGCTCAGTCATTCGATGTTACACGGACAAGCGGATCTAATTCGATGGGATACGAAATGTCATTTCATGGAGAAAAATCGCAAAAAAAAGCAGTACAACAGACGGATACAAAACTTTGTACGAAAAGTTGTACATATGTTTGATGATGCAAGTTAGTTTACGAGCAAGTAACCATAAATCTGGGGTGGTATCTAATGCACATGATAGAGCAACTAGATCCACTAGGTAAACAACGCTAGGCCCAACAAAGAAGAACCAGAAATAGGCGGATGATTTAACCTTACCTCAATGGCTTAGTGTTGTTGGCCTGAACAATCAGTTGAGTAGCCGGTGTCTCTTCCTCCACTTTCATTAAAGACTGAGTCATACAGTTGCGAACAACAGATATACCTGTAAAGTACGCAAATCCCATACAACAGACAAATTCGAAAGCAAGAGCCCTATAAAAAATGAAAGTCAGCGGATTTGCCCACATGTTATACTGAGATTTTTCTCAAAGAAAAGGTTTGAACTCTCAGATAGGGTTTAGGAAAGCAGACAAGAGGTAGAGACCAAGACTTTCGAATCTGTAGTTAGAAAGCCGGGATATAATCTTGAGTCAAATCGTAAGCTGGGGGCATAAAAAGAGGAATAGAGATAGGCGTCACAACACACAATGTAACCTCGTTTTGATGACAGCCTCCATAATTCTGTGCTCGCGCATGACAAAGACGTACGGTCCACGATATGAACGGGGCGCAACAAAAATTTGAGACGATAGCATTTTGCAATTTCACTACACGCACAAGGTGATCACTATCACAATATAACAACCACCGAACGACACTGACCCGAATCATCATCCGGCAACATGCCGTTGCTGCCGAGCTGATCTTCATGCAGTGACGAGGTCATCAACAAGTGTTGTACATCCTCACAGAAGTCCGAACTTGCGTCGTAGAACTCCTCATCTGAATCTGATGGGCCTTGATTGGCTGACGAGCATTCTATTGGCGACACCTCCACTGCTGCAGTAACAAGTGCGGAAGCGCTGGATCCAGGGTGAGGTGTAGAGCTTAGCAGGGGCTTTGTGATGGAGCTGCTCTGAGACGTGGTGTTTGATTGATCTGAGGAGCTGTTCGAGAGGCCCGAGTCGTTCGCTTGCTCGCTTTGTGAGCGTCGGAATTCTGTTTTGCTTCCTTGTATCTCAGGAGATGAACATACTGATGATGTGGAAGTGCACATTGGCTTGAAATCTTCTGGAACATGCACAGTTTCTGGACTTCCGTCAGCCTCAGCTACAACATCTAGAGATGGCGTTGATCCCAAACGTAAGCGTTCGTTTCGGGCTGCTGAAATCGAAAGCACGGAGATATTTGGAAATTAGCATGCATCACAATCGATATCATTCACACTCTCACAAATAAACTTGGCATGCAAGAAAACTGGGTAACATGCGGTAAGTTTAGCAAAAATGCAAGGTGGTAGAAGTGCTAAGGCCTGAACTCACTATGTAAACTCCACTTTGATATACAAGGTGATCATCATGCGCATAATCGTGGCAAAATCAGCTTTCGAGAAAAAATGACGGAAAGAAGCATCAGAAAAACCTGATGCCTCCATCCCTCACCAAATCATTTGATTAAAGATTTTTTTGTGATACAACTGCAACCAGTTTCCGGTTCAAGAAACCCGCGCATCTTGTGCTCCTATCTAATTAGAACGCAGCGCAACAAAAGCATATATGACTTCATTCAAGCAAGTTCCGCGCCAATGAACCAGTAATGCATATCTGTACCCTATGAACTAGGCTATGCACCCTACGTGTTTGGTACAGAGTACAAGCGCACTCTTACATTAATGAAACTTCTCTGTAAAAGCTCAATTGCTATTCACAGTTTGAGCAAAGTCAACTGTTTTTGAATTACATGATTATCGCTGTAACTATGAAGAAACTGGGGGGGGGGGGGTAGAAATCACCAGGGCCAAGATTGTGGGTTTCTGTTTTCTGCAGTGATAAAACACAGATGACCAAGTAAATACCGCAATGGTACTGCAACTTAGACTTGGCAATTGAAAGACAAAAGGATACTTTGGACGGGAACGTGTAAAAACATTCTCACGGCACCCTTGATAGGAAAGGATGTGCAAGCATAAAGTAACTGAATCTATTGCACTAAATTGGGGAAGTTCAAGCCAAAATCCAATAAATCACAAGCGAAAAACGCAATTCAATTTGGTTGTTTCAAGAACAAGTATGATGATTTTTCTCTCAAAATCAACACCGCAGAAAACTTGCCCATAGATAATTTGAGACAAAGATAAACGGACATCACGACAAAAAGGGGCATTCTAGAGGAGCATTCTTTCCTAGACGAGCGGAAAAGAGCTATCCTACCCCTGACACTTGTAGCAATTTGTATGATTAACGAAGATGTAACAGTATTAACACCTAAACCTGACTGTTAATATTACCCATGCACAATATGCAAAAAAGTAAACTGAATGGAGAAAATGAAAAAACCTCTTTTTTGAGCATATTTCTGCAGCTTTTTACTGAGTAGCGAAGCTCGATCGGAAGTTTTTATTTGGCCAAACCATTCTTTCAGATCGACAGGCTTTGACTGTGTGCCAACCTGAAATGCGTGGTAGAACAACCAAACAAGGAATCTTCAAATCAGTACCGATCGCTCTGATAGCTGTGGTGTCAGCCATGTTTCTTCGTCCTCTTCGAACTGGAACTCGAATCGTTTTGCCATCTAAATATGTGCGTTCCGAATGTGAACAGCTTTGAGAACACGTCATTATGTGAAAAGAGAGACAGACGGCCGATATGTCTCTTCAAAAGGGCGATTCTATGAAAGAAGCGATATTATGCGTGGCTATAGAAAGAGTACAGTGTGCACCGAACGTACGGTGCACGATCGCTGCACCAAGGATGATCGAGAAGACGAGAGATAAACAGGTTCCTAGCTTGCACATAACCGGTTCTAGTCAAAACATAGCCTGATGCTATGAATACAAGATTTGGCAACGATACAGACTATTGTGGGATAAAGCACATTTATGCTACTTTCATTACAAACGAAGCTCCACAATCCTGTACCAAGATAAAAACTACTCCACGATGTTAACAAACAAAAACAGTTCTACACAAGAAAGTAGAGTTATGAAAAAGCGAGACGATGCTGAATAGAAAAGCTCAAAAAGGATTATCGACCTGCTTCAAGCTTTTTTTTCCTCGCTAAGCGTGAAACGAGCGGCGGTGTGCAGGCACGGACAATGCATTGCAATTTGCAGCAGATTCAACGACTACTCTCTTTTCCGGCCCGGATTTTTCTTCCAAGTAAGCCCTTGAATGTGACAGTGACACCAATTGACAAAAAGGCTGTTTATAGTGGGGATGATGTCTGGCAATAAACCGGGAGGCCTTTGACGGTCCGTTTGATTATTATTTGGAAAGCAGTATTAGAGCCAGACATTTTCACCTTTTTGCTTGAATATCTTGGGTATCTAGAAAAAAGAGGTGAGCTGAGCTCATCCTCATCTCACCACTTGTGTGTAATTACACCATTTCGAGCTTGCAGTGGAGCTGTCGATGGCATAGAGTCACCCACGACTGAGGAAAACTTACGAAAGCACGAAAAATCAACATAAAAACAGTTGCGCGAAGAAAGAGGTCGTCGTACTCCAAAGCAGTCGCTCTGATACTTAGGACTTTGGAATTACACCAATATTACCAATTAGTTGAAAATCAAGGATTCCAGTGCATACTCAGCGTCAAAATTTGAGCATATATGCAATCGCATAAAATTTTGGTCTTCGGATGTTGACGTACAAGACGCTAAATTATGACAGAGGTTCCTTTTCAATCTTGAGTGGTTTGATGTGAAACAAGATCTCTTTGTTCCATAAGTCATTGTACTGTGAGTATAGCGCATTTCTTGGTGATAACGTTGCAAAACAATACTTCAGACTTTAAGGCTTTCTATCAAGCAATTGTACGTATTTTCGGATAAAGGATAAGAAATGATGAAAAAATGAAAAATAACAAAGCTCTTATATATGGTTTGTTCCCCCAGATTGTTCCCATGGGTACCTTCAACGTGGCTGCCTTTCGATCGTTTTAACACGTTAACTTCAGCAAATTCAAAGCGCTTGTTCGAAGTTGGCTGTTGAAACGATCGAAAAGCAGCCCGTTGATGGTACCTATGGGAACATTTCTGGGGGAAAGGTAGGTCCAAACATGCTCTATTACCACCACCATCCAATAAATCAACAGTTGCCTAGTCACACCAATGACAAGATTTGACGAATACCTTTACAGCCGCGCTTCAGATCATTACAACACCGCCTCCCCCATCCCCCACCCTCCTATCCGCTCCATTTGCACAAAAGGCTGTGATTTGCTATTGTCATTTGAGGAATATGTTTTTGTCAATCGACTTCGATATCGGAGCTATAATACCGCTTTTTTTTTGAATACGACGCACAGTCGTCCGATACATGTGACATCACCGTAGCGTGGCCATATCTCGCTTCAGAGTGGTTTTTGCTTACGGTAAGTCACTCAGTGTGCTTAATTGCACTCACGGGCATCCTACCGTAAGCAGAAATCTGAAATGATTCGTGGAACCTAGCCTGTATTCAAGCGGGCACTCCTATATGATAGAAGATTCGCTGTGCCGCGCTGAGTTGAATGGTGCCCTTGAATTGAGATTTCGTCCATTCTAAAGCAGATATGGCCACGCTACGGTGATGTCACATGAATCCGGCAACTGTGTGTCGTTTTTTGAAAATTTTTGAAAAAAAGGTATTGTAGATGCAGGCGAAAACCCCGTTATCTACGGTACAGAGCATTCCCTAGAGCACTGGAATGGCTTAGGTGATAAAACTGATATGAAAGTTCGCAAGCTAGCAGGAAAGGGCAGTAATGGGGGAAAAACAAACTATGTGCTCGGAGTAAGGTCCTAATTTTCAATGGCAATCTCGGGAAAGGAGAAGGCGACAAAATTACGCCAAAAAGATTTTTGGAGGCAGCAGCGCTTCATAAAGTTTCGCCAATCCAATTTTATACCTTGGAAAATCATATCAGTCATTTATGTAAAAAAACTTTATTTAAAAAAAAACAAGTCTTCTGCACAATCTTATAATCACTTCCAAAATTCGCGATCTATTCTAAGCGGGAAAAAAGGAATAGTGGGGAGGGGGGGCGGAGAGGGACTCGTTCTCTTTGCGGCAGAATATCCGTCAAAGAATTTTTTACAACGAGAAGCGCTACAGCTCCGGTTTCTCCGCACTACTAGCACATCTACATTCTTCATCTTTTGATACAGGCAAGTCAAGGTAGCTAGATTTTGAAAATTTTTTCATTTCCTCCAAAAAAGGTCGATTTCTTGTGTTGTTGCCAACTTTTTCTTAATTGTTGACGAATACAAGAAGTTATTCCCTAGCGAATAGGGGGCAGCACATGCTTAAGAGGGAAGGGAGAAAACTAGATGAAGGGGAGGATGGCGTGACTAGTGGACTAGATGCAAGAAACTCAACAAAATTTGTTATCAGTGCTAATATTTGAGGGCAAACATCTTTTCTCGGTTATTTTTTGAGAGAAATAATGTCTTGATTATCGTAGCTGATCAAGAAAATTGTGAGAAAATCTAGAGGTTTGACGGTTGAATGGTGTTGCTGCGGTGCCGGCAACAATTACGCGGAAAAAAGTGTGAGCCTTAACGCCGAAAGATGCATGTAGGAATGGCCATAATGGCCGCCCCCACTTTCATATTTTGCGCGCCCAATGGCCACTTTTTACGCGCAATTGTTGTCGGCAATGCTAAAACACTACATCAGTGGCCGTATTCATCAACGAACCTTGAGGTTAAATTTTACCTTGAGAGCACGTCTCAAGGTAGATTTTAACCTCAAGGTAACTTTGCTATTCACAAATCTACCTTGAGGTTAAAATCTACCTGGTAGTCAACAGAGTACTTACTGACGTTTATTCGGAACATGCCATGACGTATCAGCGGTGCATGAAATCTTCTACTGCTGGTGATTTTCCGACTCATGTTGATAATGCCGTATATCTTGTAGGTGCACGTTACCATGTTTTGGCAGGAAAGCCTTCTGAGGAACTAAGCAATCATGTTTCAACATGATTGGACGTGGCAATTGATATAGGGTTGTCTCAAATGTTAGTACGCACTTTTTGATCGTTAATATCTCTTCTCACACAGAGTCTTTCGGTTAGATTCAACAGCCATCCAGTAGAGCAGGCTTGAACTTAGATTGCTGGTATGGAGCAAAGCACTTATAGCTCTTCATTACTGTAGTATTACAATAGAAATTGAAGAGGGTTTTTAACAAAGTTAAAACCCTCCTTAACTTCCTATCAAATTTATATAAAAACAGACATTGATGGTTGAAATCAATGTATGAATTTTGGCCCAAAATGGCTAAACCAATTGGAACGCGTAGAAACTCTCAGCAAGGTTGTCTAATGGTGTTAGCATCTCTGAAACACTGCTACACAACTTTCCAGCTTTTTGGAAGCTTTTTTTGCTGGCCTATTTCAAAATGGCGCTGTATATTTTCCTATCGATCTTACAGCAATTAAGAGCCATAGGTGTTTTGCTCCATACTATAAACCTAAGTTGAAGCGCACTACTGCATGGTACTCGCAGCTAAGCAAAAGGCTTCCTGAGAAGAGAGTTACCACCGATTAAAGAGTGAGTACTTACATTTGGGACACCGTGTACAATAGGAAGAAGAACACGCTTCATGGCCATCAGAGTATAAGTAGAGTTAGAATTGAGGTGTATCATATGAAACGCAAATACCGCAAAAATTCACATAAGTTTTCAAAATTTTTACATAACTCTGTTTCACTCTTATAGTTTAGTATGTAAAACTTTGGTCCCAAAACTCCTCCCGGCCTCTTTGTTAGGATCCGGAACAGCACGACGCCGATCCTTTTAAGGAGGGAATCGCCCAATCGAACAACCTACATTGCCCTATCGAACAACCCCTTTCTCCCACGAATCCAGGATGGGGACGCCAAAGGTGAACTGTGTGTGCAATGACACACATGATCATATGAAATGAAGCGACTGTACGCAACTGGCGAGATCAAGCGGGAAATCATAAAAATCGATAGTGGCAAAGGCGAAGTCGTTTCACGCTCAGATAATCAGCGGGGGCAGGCGGTCCGCCTCGCGCTTTTCTGCAGGCGGTCAGCAGAATTTTGGGGCGTGGCCAAACCTTCAGCGGGCGGCACTTCCTTTACGATCGCATATTCTGCCAACGGGCAGTAATACAGCATTTTTTGCCGGCAAATAATTTCTTTCAGCAAGCGCTGACCAAACTTTCGGCAAGCGCTCGGAATCTTTTTATGCATTTTCGGCATACGTCGAGCACAGGTAAGACTCTGTGTGGCAGAGGTGTCACCTTTGGTTTAATTACTCAAGTTTGAGGTACTTTCTCCCAGCGGAAAGTACCTGGGGGCTGCGCGGTCTTCCACAAAGGACCGTGCGGGCCCCGGAAATTCTGCATATTCTCGCGGAAAGTCCGCGAGAATGCGCCACTGCGCCGCTGCTAATCTATAAGGAAACCGCGATTGCTCTCCAAGCATTCGTCTAAAATTTCGCAAAAATTTTCCAAATTTCTGCAAGCGGACCGCAAGAAATCAGCGAACTATTTTTTCGGTGCGCGCTTGCTCAAAATTCGCATGGCCGCCCGCCCCCAGCGATTATCTGAGCGGATGTCTAT